AAAGTAACTAAAATAGTTCTTAGTTCTTTAGTTACTTAGTGTTATACTAGTTATTTTAGTTAAATAACTAGTAGCTATTTTGGTTTATATACATATAATATATATATATATATATATATATATACTATTTACAAATAATTTCTTAAATTTCAGTTACTTTTTTAAAACATAGAACAGTAAATAAAAATGTATAGAAAACAATGACCTCTACTACTTATGATGTTAAAAGTTTCTTTGTACTCGTGTGTCATACTTGCTAAGTCACATCAAAATTTTGCATGTGGAGGATGAAAAAAAGTTTTATATTTTGAATTAACAAAAATTATAAATTACTATACTGATACCACAAAATTACACTGTAACGTATCATACTTCTTAACTAAGTTGTACTTGGGTCTAAAAATATCATTTCTGATCACCATATAACCTTGAGACCTCTCTTCAAACATGCAACAGAAAAGATGGCTTTACCCAAGTAAACACTTTAAGAAGACTGGAAGGATTGTGTAGTTCAAAATGAGAGCTTTTGATTGGTTATAAACATGCAACAGAAAAGATGGCTTTACCCAAGTAAACACTTTAAGAAGACTGGAAGGATTGTGTAGTTCAAAATGAGAGATTTCGATTGGTTATAAACATGTAACTGAGAGAAGTGAGCATAGGTAAACAAGTGGTGGACTTGCTAAATATAATATCATCTCAGCAAATAGGAAAGGTAGGAGCTTCTTATTTTATATTCTAGCTTGTCAATATTGGTAATTTCAGTTTCTAATTTGTAAGAAACTATAGACATTATAAAATGTAACATGAACAAAAGCAGGAGACAAAACTACCACATCACACACAAAAACTGATATTTTCTTTTAAATTAAGAAGTTAAGTAATGTATAACACTAAAATTTGAATTATAAACTATAATTTGATGACAAATTTATTGACATACATTCATAGAATAGTAGTTTGATAAAACTTTGAATGTAAGTCTCCAAATGTAATGACATGGCCTCTAACTCCTACCTATAGAGAAAGGGTTAATTAAATAGAGTTATTTAGTATAGTAGTATTGTTAGTATAAAAAAAAGTAGGCTTAAGTTTCCTTGAAAGTCAACAGCAAGAAACATGAGGATCCAGATAAGTATTATAATTCTTGTTTGTCATGTGTATTCTTTATTTATTATTACAAAAGTAATTAAAATACAAAAAAATCATAAACTTGTTAGGTTAAATAAGGATAGATTAGGTAAGATAACGAAAAAAATGTTCTTCATGAGGTAAGATAGCAAGCAGCTTGTGCATTATGTAATTGATACAGTAATGGGAGTGCATGTTTGCCAATTTGGTGGGATTATTAGTTAGACATGGTTCAAAATAAAACAATAAAAACTTAAGTATAAATAGTTGTATACTCTTACAAGCTTTAAGCTATTTAGAAAAAACAATTGTGGTTTCCTGTTACAATTTGTAGTCATTTTACAAAAAAAAAAAAAAGAAGTAACTTAGATTTAGTTCCTAATTTTTTTACAGTGGTCATGAGGTCAGTCAAATCAAAAACCTCATATACAGTTAGGGTGGAGAAACTGACGGATAAAATATGTTTTCCTGAAAACAGAAAAATTTGATATTTATTTATGAGGTTTTATAAATCTTTATGCATGAAATTTGACAATTTTCTGATGAGGAAAAGTACCTTAAGTTTTAAAATCAAAATTACTTTGCATGTTGGATAATCACCATTTCAAGTGCAAGTAAATCTTTAGTTAACATACTTCATTAAAAAACTGATTTTTTTGTGTCCAAAAACCTTGTACTGTTTAGTGATAGTCTGGAAATTTCATGAAGGTATGTAAACATTATCAAAAGTTAATAATGCTTGGAGACGGCTTGAATGGGTAATGAAGAAAAACTTTAATACAAGTTTAACATAACAGCAAATGTACAATGTTTCGACAAGGTTTTGTCATCATCAGGTACAAGAAGGTACATGGACATGAATTCCAGTAGTAGATGTCTGCATATCATATCAAACTTCAAGTCACCTGAAACTTGTTTTACATGAAAAACTCAAAATTGACATTAATGTGCCTTATCATAAGTACAATATGAAGAATTCTAATTACCTCTTTTTAACTCTCTTGGTCGGTTGATTCAGCCGAGTTTTTTAACCCAAAATTTATCTTTAGAGTTTCCATATTATAACGTCTAATATGTTCTGTGTATCTTCATGGAATTTTGCAAGCTTTCAGTAAACATTACAAGCCTTTTGCAGACAAAAACAATCAAAATTTTTAACCAAATATTTTTACCAAAATTTTCTCTATGAATATATGAAGTCAAAGTGTTGGCTGCTCCAAGGGCAAAGTGATTTTCATGTTAAGATTAAGAATACTTTTCTTCATCTGAAAATTGTCAAATTTCATTTGCATACTCTCTAAAACCTCCTAAATAAATTTCAAATGTTTTTTTCAGTAAAACTTTATATTTTACCTATTATGTTCTTTACCCTAACTCTACACAAACTGAAAACTTTGTACTGTCATTTAGTTTGTGTTTTAGTGGAACGATCCCAAAGAAGCTATGAAGTGAAACATTGTGTCCAATTAAAGAAAAATAACAAATTTTGGTGTTTTAAAGTAATTTTCTTCTAGTTTTAAAGTCTTTTACACACCAATTCATACTACATAAATTAAATAAGGAAACATCCAAAACAGTTTAAAACTGTAGCAGTATACATCTGTTTTACATAAATTTTATTCTTTATTGCCCTTTAAACTATGTCTAACAAATAATCCCACCACACAAGTTGTAAGACACTCAAACATGCTCCTCACATTACCCTATTGAATTATGTAACTCATGAGGTACTTGTGAGCATACCTTGTGAAAAATTATTATTTTTCTTTATCTAACCTAATCTTATCTAACTTATTAAAATTCTAATTTTATAATAATAAAAAAAGAACACACAAGAAAAACAAGAAATATAGTACTTAACTAGGTCGTTTTTTTTCTGTTGCTGTCAATACAACTTGAGCCAACTTTTTTTTATCCTAATAGTACTACTACATTAAATAATTTTTTCATTTACTTAAGTTATGCAACTAAGAACACAGAATAACAACATATAAAAAGCAGACAATGTCCTATAACTATCATAATTTTTCTGGCTTTCTAACTATGTCATAACAGCCGTTAAACATTCAGTTTAACTTGTAGATGTGTTTTCTGTGGGAATAAAGTTTGAACTAGAAGCAAAATAGAATCCTCTGTACAGCAAAACACAAATATGTCATTTGTAGTATAAAACATCAGAGAGAACTATTGGAAATTTGTGAAAGATGGCATATGACAGGTGAGACTGATTTCCTATTTTATTGCTCCCTAGACAAATAAGATTGAAGACTATAAATATACTATAATAAGTAATTTACATACTTTTGGAGGGATGGTAAATAAATTAGAGAAGAGGATTTTTTAAAATATTTCCTTATAAAATGAAGAACTTAAAACTTTGATGATAAGTTTACTTGTATAAAGTGACATTAAAGTAATTTAATTAAATTCTGAATGTAACTCTCTAAACAGTTGTAACATGCACAGTAGAGGATACCTATATGGATAGTGTTATTTGTTTTGAACAGTGTGTCAAACAGATATAGACATTTAGAGAATTTAAGTTTTCACATACTGCTAGAATAAAAATGAGGTCATTTGGTAGAATAAAATATTATAAAACATAACTCACCATTCAGCATTAGGATGCATTGTGGATACCATCTGAGGAAAGTCAATTAATGTAGCATGGTCCTTTTCATCAAGCATGATGTTAAACTCATTGAAATCTCCATGTATAAGTCCATGAGTGGCTAATCGCACAAGCAGGTTCATTAAGTCGTCATACAAGATTGGAGGGTCAGCAACATGGTGGACTTGACATCTTTTTATATGTATTAAACAAATGAAACTACCAGTTTTATATTTATCTTTTATCAGCTACAAATCTTTGACATATACAAAACTCTGTAACAATGATTTAATTAACCAAAGAAAATAACTTTTAAAATTGTTTTAATATATTTCAATATTAGTTAATAAAACAAAGTAATATGGAGGGTTAATTATACTTTATATGAAAGATGTACCAGGTCCCAGGTTGTAGTATGCTAATACCACACATTTCACTCTCCCAAAGTTTGGAACAGATTAAATCCAGTTGAGGTCATCATCTGCTAAATTTGTCTTCAGCCATTACTTTTATAGACTATTCACTCAATGAACCGTTTCCTCCAATATGCTGCTTCACTTTCTGTAGTTACCTTGTGACTATCAAAAGTAGATATTTTCATATGATGATTCCTGTTTTCCATATAGCCAGCTACAGAGAGGTGTATTGTGAATTCAGTTTTGGCACTTTCACACTACATCAAATTCCAAGAAGTTTTATCTTGGATGCAAAACAGCAAAGACTTGCTGTGGAAGTCTCAGCAATGTCCTGGCACTTCTGTGCCTGCTGATCATACATTGATATTTTTGGAGTTTATCCTGAAGAAAAGTTTCTGTTCATTCCTTAAGTATAGTCGCAATTTCATTTTGTTTTAATTCAACCAAAACAAAGTGCTCTAATGTACCACATTTCTGCATATAACATTAAGGTCAATCTTAAATCACACACCTTGATGAAAAGATTCTCCTCCGTATGTGAATATCAGTTTGCATCATATTTACAGAAGGCTCACAGTGTCTTTAACAGATATGCTAAAGAAGAGAACAGCATGAACACATTTTATTTTTATAGTTCTTAGAAACATTACTGTAAATTAGACACATAACTTGATGCTTTATCCTGATGTTGACAAACTACTTTGTCAATCTGGTCATACAGTGTAGAAATTATATTTCACTTAACTTGTTAACAATTTCTCCTGACAGTATCCAGACTTTACATTTGGTTTATTATGCATTCTGTGAAGTTAAAATTTCTCATTACATGAGAAAATTTTGAATTGTGGCAACCATAACACCTGAAAAAAACAACTTTCTTCACAATCTATATTAGAAAAGATTTATCACTTTATAGTCAGTATCAAGTTGCTTGTTTCTTATTACAGTGAGCTAACGACCAATGTTAACTACTAAATGGCTACTAAACACTTTACTGTGGCATAAGACCCATGTCTGAGAGCATAAGCTATATTCATTCTTTTAACTTAAGATTAACCCTCCATACACTTCAGGATGTTGGATGATAATCCACATTAAATACGTATATTGTTTAATCAAATTTACTATTACATATAAGAGATACTTTAATAAGAAATAAAAGTGGCTCCAAGTTTGTATTTTTACTTGATTTCATTTGGAAGGACTAACACATTTGGCCTCTTGTTTTTTCATAGAACTATAATAAGAATAATAATTCCAATACCTCTGGTTACTTTGATGTGGTTAATAAACCTAGGTTCTGCAATGTAAATAGCCTAACTAATTCCAAAACCTCTGGTTATTTTGATGTGGTTAATAAACCTAGGTTCTACAATGTAAATAGCCTAACTAATTCCAATACCTCTGGTTACTTTGATGTGGTTAATAAACCTAGGTTCTGCAATGTAAATAGCCTAACTAATTCCAATACCTCTGGTTACTTTGATGTGGTTAATAAACCTAGGTTCTGCAATGTAAATAGCCTAACTAGAATTTTTTCAAACAGTTTATTGCCATTAAGGTACTCTTGTTAAATTGGAATAATCTAGTAATAATTGACAACAGAATGTGTAAATATTATATTTTGTAATTAATGTTTTATTTGTCCTGTATTCTCCTCAAAATGAAAATAAACCATTTCGATGTAGAAATGATCTCTCAGTAGTTGTTAATAAAAACTATAGAATGCAGTAATACACAAAAACACTATCATAATTACCTGAAATTATAATCAGCTAAATATTAGTGAAATACTGATATTAAGTAAAACTTATACATTATTCATTTTTAAGAACATTGTCATAATTGTAGATACTCCTGTGAATAAGATTTAGTGCTAAATCTGAAGCTTTTATTCAATCAAAATACTTCTAAAATCATAAGACCACAAAAAGCATATATACACATTAATATATTTAGTGCTAAATCTGAAGCTTTTATTCAATCAAAATACTTCTAAAATCATAAGACCACAAAAAGCATATATACACATTAATATATTTAGTGCTAAATCTGAAGCTTTTATTCAATCAAAATACTTCTAAAATCATAAGACCACAAAA